ATTGCTATTTCGTTTTTATTTTCTAGAAGGGTAAGCTTTTGTTGGCGCGGTGATTGGTAAGTGATTACATTCCATTTCTTTCGCTTTTGAGTTTTGCCTTTTGGTTCTGCCATTTGTGATATGTGAAAAGACAAACAAACAAATAATGACTCTTGGATGATTCTTTTTTAATGAAATGAATTTTGATGAAGTTTGAGAAGTACTTTAGAGCTTTACTTGTTCTTTTCTTATTCACGACATCTAAAAAAATAAAGAAATATTTAAATGCATATTTTTGCAATGAAATAATATTATTGGCAAAAAAAAAAAAAAAATTCTAACTATAATTTTTAATTACATGAAGGGCATCATTTTAAAATGTCACACTCAAAATCTCATAGTCCGACCTGCCTCCCCATATTAAAATAATAGATTACATGTTTGGGATGGAGAAGTGTTTTCTTTGTAACTAAAGGTGTATTTTCTTTCGACAATCATAGTTTTCATGTCAATGGATTGTGCACCTTACAGTTTCAGAATGCCTCGGAAAAGATTATTTTTTGTATTTTTAGGCATTAGTTTATTATATACTGCATCAAAATGAAATGTATTATAGTAGCAAACCTGGTTGAAAAAATGAGTTTTTGTGAGCTCTAAGTCTATTCGACTAATGCCTTCTTTTCCCCCTTGTGAACTGCACTTATCTACAAGTCAGCAGACAACCATTCGATGATTTCTGTTACACTGTCCTGTTAATAATATGCAGTTGTTTCTCTACATTGTCACATGATATATTTTATTCTCCTTCCTTCTTTGGATGTCTAACAAATGGATAGGAACTTGTCAACAGGAATTTTTCTTCATGTCTCCGAACTCTTCCCCCTAGTAACTATATCCCACACCTTGCTTCTGCTACTGTTGTGTTCTGAATGACCATTCTTAATACAACCGTGCTGGTCGTACAGAAAGGGCTTTACACCCTTTTTGACACAGGAAGGGATGGGAGCTTCATTTTTTTGCATTTTTTATTCATATGGGGTCGGCTCGGGTCCCACGCAAATGTGAGCATCTGTCATCCAACATGTCGATCATTTTCTGGTAGAGGAGATTTATTCTTCTTAATATTTGGTTCTGTTCACAAAAGCTCAAGTCTAATTCTGGACCTAGTACTACGTCCTTTAATGTTGAGAATCTTCTTTTGCAAAGGCATCCCAACTAGCCTGGGTGAATGATTTTCAAGTGCTTGTCTTCTGTCATTAAATCTCATGATTGAATTGGCCACAAAGATCACAAAACATGAAGACATGCCTTTGAACTTATTTTAGAGGTTATGGATCCATCCTTGCCTTTTGCAGAGGAGGAAAACAACTGATGTGAAAGAGAAGTTCATGAAACAGAAGAAAGAGGCTATGAATATCATACTTTCATGTTCGATTACATTAACCGAGAGATAGTTGGATACCAATCGACTGCACATAACCAAATACTTGATTTGCTGGAAAGATAGATGCCACATACTAAGAGAAACACACATTTTGCTATACTTCTACATGCTGTGGAGGATGTCCAGCACTAAAGATAAGTGAAATAGCCACAATTAAAAAATAATAAATAAATAAAAATTGAAAATTTCATAAAGCCACTTAAAATCAAAAAGCCTTTCAAAATCTGGGTTATTAAAGTGACATCATCCAAACGACAATGGACAAAGGATTGACAAAACTTAATGACACTCACGATGATGGGCATACACAATGTCAAGGCTGAAAAAGCCACTAACGGACACAAACACGGTTCTTGTCTATTTCTCAGTAGTCCGCCATGTTATCTCAAGTTAACTTAAAAGCCCCCATTGTCCCCTAAGGCACTTCTCCACTGGCAAAGGACGGACGCTGTCAAACCTGGCAGAGCAGAGGTCGTGAGTTCGAAACATGGGGCTCTTGGAAGGCAAGGATTTATTCTTGGAAGGCAAGGGAACATTTGGAAGGCAAGAATTTATTCTTGGAAGGCAAGTGGGAACTTGGAAGGCAAGGATTATTCTTGGAAGGCAAGGTGCAACTTGGATTGGCTTGCTTGGCACTTTGTCAGACCAGGTGGGGAGCGCTCGGACCCTGGCCAGTCGGAGGCACATCCTGCGATTAACCGGACTGTGTGAAGAGGGGCCGGATCACAGACCCAAGGATTAGTCAAGAATTGGACACCTTGTAAAAAAAAAAAAAAAGCCCCCATTGTAACAATGAACACCTTCGATTATCCATTAAAAATAACTGCAGTCATTCTTCCTCCTAATACAAAATAAAGCAGTGATGGTAGATAAAATACTTGTTGCGATATCTAAAAGACACTTTTCATGATAGAAGAGATTGAAATCTTGGTTTCTTCGATGTCTGCTCTATTATGTCTTTATTGAACCAGGTTCGTTACCAAAAATGGTAGTTGTTGCTAACTTGGCTCCGACGTGCTATTCCTAGTATGCCTATTTCGGCTGCAACTCAAAAGAGAGCCTCTCATAGTGGTCGAACAATGTGCTTTCTTCATTGCCGCATCTTTCGAAAATCGTTGCAGTTTTATCGGTTGTTCCCATTTGAAACAAATTCATCATCACTAGGGAATGCTTAAGTGATCGGAAGTTCTGATACGCATTATGAGTTGACTTAAAACATTGTCCTTGCTGTTCAAATTGCGCGAAATGATTTTATAGCAACGACACAGGTTGAGATAGATAATGAGAATACCTATTTTTTTTCATCAATTTTGAAATGAAGCTATTTATAGAGAGGTATGATCTAACGAGCACGGGTGCTCGTTTTATGTTAAGCACTAGTGAAGTTTTTTTTAATGCTCTTATTAAACATTTGTTTAGACTTCTTACAATGTAGGGGTGAAGATTCTTTGTTATCCCAAATATGTATTACAATGAAAACATTTTCAAAATACTTTTCGGTGGGTACCAATTATTTTTTTCTAGTTTGATTGTTTGATACTCATCTTAAATTGCATGGGATGAAACATTGATTTTAGTTAATTCCAATTTCCAAGTGATTTAAATTTTACAGCTGAAATAAAATATACTCGCGACCATAAAAAAATAAAGAATTGTGTAATTAGTATTCCGATTTGAACTATGTAGATTTAACTTTTCTTGAGTTCAAAATGTATACAGTACTTATATGTTGGGAGCACCTATATGGAACACAGCATCAGTAGGGTCAAATTATTTTATTTACTTCAATGGTGGAAAGCACATCTTTATCAATGTTTGATATTGTTCAATATAGCCCAAAACTTCTTCACAATACGTGACTTTTTTAACTCTAACTCAGAGCCGGACTTGATGGAAGGCCCAAGAGGCCTCCGCCTCAGGCCCAGAATTTTAGGGGGCCCAATATTTTTTTTTAAACCGACTATGTCCATGTGTTCAAAAGAAACGAATAAATACTTTAATGAGAAGAGAATGAAGGAACATCGAAAAATTTATTTATTGTTTTATTGTTGATTTAAGTTAACATATTTAATTCCGTAAACTTCTAATTTTTTATTTTATTTTTTTTAAAAAGGGATTGTTTGCTACGACTTAGGGTGTAGAGCCCAAATTTCGAAATTCGCCTCAGGCCCCGCGAAGCACGGGTACGACCCTGCACTTACTAACATAAGGGCAATTATAAGAAATCATATGTTAAATCAAGATGTATCACAAGACTTGGGCAATAATACAACCCGAATAGAAACTCATATTAGTTTGAACAAGTTGCTTCAAGAAGAAGCGTATTTCCGGTATATTTTCATATGTACACTTGCTAACTATTAAGGTAGTATTATAAGTATATTTTATTTATTTATTTATTAATAAATTATATTTATTTCATCTATTTTTTAAAAAATTGTACACAAAATATTCTTTCTTGTACAATTTTAACTTAGTCTATTTATTATAGTCAGTCCCCCATTCCGAGAAAGGAAAATTTTACAATTTTAGGGTTCGTTTGATTACAAAAATGAAATTTGGGTTTAGGATTACGAATTGAATTGTTTAGAAATTGTTTTACTGAGAATTGTCAATTATTATATTTGATTGGTACAATTTTCCACGTGAAAAATGTTGATATAAAAGTATTTTTTGGTGTTCGTTTGATTTGTTTTACATGAAAATTATCAATTAAAAGGATAGAATTTATTGGTATTGGAGATAAAATTTGTTTCCATTGCTAAAAAAAAGAGCAAAGCAAATCGTCTATTTTTTGGTGTTCGTTTGATTTTATTTTACATTGAAATTATCAATTAAATGAAAATATTTTTTTACAATTAGGGATAGAATTTGTTTCCATCGCAAAAAAAAAAAAGCAATACCCTAGAAAACTAAGAAATTTCCAATTTTCAAGAAAACCAAATTCCATGTAAAATTTTGCTATCAAACACCACAAAATAAGTGGAAATTCAATGGAAATTCGCCCTATCAAACATGGCTTTATTGTTCTTCTGAAAATTATTATTATTATTTTTTTTTTGACATTTACAATATCTTTACAAATTTACGTCTTCGTTGTAGCTTGGAGAGGGTAGGTGTAATTTTTAGTTTAAAAATAAAAATTGCAAATGGCTTGTAAACCTCACCAAGGAACTAGGGGGTGAGTCGAACTCAAAATTTGTAAAGCAAGCCAGATTGGCTCGCTCTACACGCAAGCACAAGTTGGCTCGCGTGGTAGGTTGAATTGACCAACTTGACTTGACTTATTCAACACTTCTATTCATACCTCATAATCGTGGAACCTACATAATGTGTGGCTTATCTGCAAATTATATTTGTCAAACAAGATCTTCAGCCCTTAAAATAGGTTTCGATGTTTAGACTCCTGATGTTTGTAAACGAAAATTTTATAAATTAATGAAATGTATAGTTAGAAAATTGTGAATCTCGTAAAATACATAGGTCAAATTAATTGTTAATTTTGAATTAAATTTCAGAATTAATTGTTAACTTATTTGGATCCGAGTGCCTAGTAGCAAAAAGTCAGCAAAGCCCTCACTATCATCTCAAATTTACATATTCTTCCCCGGTCAGATCCGCAACACATAAACCCTATATCGAGTTCGAGGTTCAAGTCAATTTCTGTATTCCCAAATTGATTTGTATCATAATCTTCTAATTTTATTTCATTTTCTTTGCGTACAGTATATGCTTTTTACTTAGCGCACGAATTAAACAAATTACCCCAAAATTCTGGTGGAAAAATGAGCTCTTTAGCTTCGTTTTGGTGAAGAAATAGCTTATTCAATTCAGAAGCTTTTGAGCGATGGATAAACATGGATTTATTGCCGCTATTTTCATTTTATTAATTGTCTCAAACACTAGCAATGCATCTTTAATGTTTAATATCCGGAGATTAATACTCGGTTCTAAAAACACCACTTCCACAAATTTACAGGTAAATTTCTTTGCCTCTCTGTGTGTACATGAGTTTGTTTGTGTTGTGTATAAGTTCTTATTTCGACAAAAATTGAAATTATTGATCGGGAATAAATTTGATCTAGGTTTCGCCGTTGGTAAGTCCTGTCAGTGGTCCTGTAAATGCTGGAAAGTCTGAGAAAGATAAGCACAATGAATCCGAGGTTAGTAAGCAGAACAATACTTCGTCAACTGTGGATTCGAAGGGCTTCAAGAAAAAGGACGATGATATTGATAAAAATAGAAACCATACGGGCACTTCAAGCCAACCGGATGGTGTGAAGAAAGGTGTATTGGACGATAAAGGGAAGGGGAAGGTGGAAAATATCACGAAAACGCAGTTGGGCAGTAATGATAGTTGTGAGGGATCACAGAGGAGCTGCAGAGACGAGGCTATGCTTGCTTGCATTTATACCTCCAAAAAGGGTAAAGCTTTTCCCATTTCAGATCATGTTATTCTCTTACAAGCTAGTACTTTGAGTTCAATGTTTTGAGTATAACCTTAAAGAACTAAAATATCATTCCTCTTAGTTTATTTGATTTGCACGGATATATATGTGTGTGTGTGTGTGTGTGTGTGTGTGATGGTAACAGGTACAACTTGGAATATTAAGTTAGGTTGTATTATGAGAGAGTAAATTTCAAATAAGGCAGTTTTTTTGTGATATTTTTACTTATTGAAAAGGATAATTTGAGGCTTGCAATTGCATTGCACAGGGTGATAAATATTCCTACATGTATGGAAGGATGCCCACGCATTCTGTTCAGTACAAAGAGCATATAAAAACTTGAAACAATATTAATGGTATCTTAGGTTGACATAATCTATAAAATGGATCTGAATCCTTTCAAGTATATGAAGTGTCAGAAAACAGTCGCACTACCTACCTAATGAAACAAACTATATGAATAAGTTGCTTATGGAAAACACTGAATTAATCACAAGTATAGGCTCAGTTAACCCAGTAGAAACTTTCTTCGTTATAGCTTATATTCATATCTGTTCATATTCATCAAATGTGAGGTTTCAATCTTTTTTTTTTTTTTTTTTTTTTTAATACTGAGGTACTATGTTCTGCCGAAGAATACTACCTTAATTCTTTATCTCTGAATCCCTGATCGTACAAGGTAATGAATCTTGGATTTGTTTCCGTTAGGCTATTTACATGATTTAATCTCTTGAAATATATCAGAAGCCAACTGAAGTTCAATACATTATCGTATAGAAGGCTGTAGCTTTTTGAAATATGTTCAATGGTCTCTCGAAACATTTTAGTTGCTGGAGTAATATGCCATTAATTTATGTGCCGCTTGTGATATACAAGCTCTACTACCTTTCTTGACTATAAAAGTGTTCTTTGAACTTCTGAGAAATGTTGAAAGGAGATAATACGACATTCAATTCACTTTAATTGTTATATTACAGCTTTGCTTTTTCTAATCAGGAAATGTCACCTTTCAGAATAATATTAACTAACAATTCAAGGTCCTGTTGTGTCAAGAATCTTTTGATACTATAGCTAGCTACGATCCCCTATGAGGGGAATCACTCGATTTGCCCTTTGGCAGGCGGGAGGGCGGGTACACTCTATGCAATGCTTTCTTTAGGATTAGTGCTTAGGGTACAATCTATTTACAATTTTATCCTAATAATAGAGCATGCAGTTCATCCATTAGCCTTAGGGCAAGCACAAAATCAATTAATAGCTTATAAAAAAAGGATGACTTAAGACAATAAGAACGGCTAGAAGAAGTATGTCACTTGCAAGCCTAGGAACAATTTAAGGAAATTGATGAATGTGTCTCACTGTTTTGTGCCACACGGTTGAGCTTCCTCTCTCCCATTTTGACTTCCATTCTTATATTCTAATAGAGGGAAAGCATTTTTTTCATTTTTTTTTTTATTATTATTAGAAGAGTATGCCTTTTAACTTGGCTGAGTAATAAGCACGTGCATTGCATGTCTTATGTAAATGATGAATGATAAACGGAATACTTTTGAGTATTGATACAATTTTTGAAAGTAGTTGAGATAATTGATATTATTAGAGAAAATTTAAAATTATCAAAAAGAATATATATATATATATATATATATATATATAATTTTATTCTTCTTTTTTAACAAAATTATGTATATAATGTGAAAATGTTGAATAAACTAAAATGTATTGATTACAATAACTCTTCTTTATACACAATAATTTATGTCAACGTCTCACTACTTTTCTTCTTTTTATTTTCTTCGTTACCAAGACTTTTGTTATTTGCATTGAAACTCCTTTAAAAAGTGTGACATATAATTGCTCATGAAAGAATACATGTTCAAAAAATTAATGTATATTCCAACAGTAGACTTTTTTTTGTCCTTGAGCCTTGTTAATGGTCATTACAAAGCATAGACATATTGGAATATTATTTCCTCTTGAATTTTTATTCATATTTCCTATATTTTGAATTCAATGTAGTATTTACTTTTATTTTATATATTATTTATAAAATAGTTCTAATTTTATTGAATAATCAAATTTCATTGAATAAAATGTCATAAAACTATTTTTCAAAATTTTAAACCAAACCTCTTTTCTAGTTTGTTGTTTTAAGAAATAATTTTTCAAAATGTAACTAAACACGTTTTTGGTAATTCTAGAATGGACCCTTAAAATAAAAAAACTGAAAATAAACTCAAAACTCAAAACTGAAAATGAAACCAAATGGGCATTTAGATTTCAAATGCTTGTAGTCCAAAATGGGCTTTTTTATATAATTGAGATTAAAACAATGGTATATCTGGTGATGCACTACTTGATTAGTTCATATAATATGGGCTATAATCATTAAAAATTTTAAAACATTTTTTAGTTTTATTCATTTTAATAAAAAAAATTGGAAGAAATTTTTAAAAAAAATATATATATTTTTTCATTGATGCATTAGTCAATTTCAAATTCATTGAGAAAGAGATTCAATTAAAAATGAAAATTTATATATTTATTTATTTTATTTAACATTAGAACAAAATTTTTTGAAAAAAAAAAAATCCAATTGAACAATTAAAATGATTATTAAATTATTTTTATAAGTTTACTAATCATAAAATAAAAAAAATTTACTATTGCATCTTTCGAAGTTGAATTATATACCAAACCAATTCAATGACAAAAAATGAAATTTTCATAACTTAATAAAAGTCGACTATAGCGCATGAATTATTAATCAATTGATTCCGAAAAAAATTCTCTTCTCTAATATTTAAAGCAAAAAAAATAAAAAAATAAAAACATTTTAAAATTGATCTGAATATTGTTATAGATATCTTTCTAATTCAGAAGTGAGATACGTGGATGGAGGTTACAAATATGTTAAGGCAAATAATTCCAAATTATTATGGCATTTAAGATTGACAACAATCCTCTCTATTTCTGCATAACCAATAATTTATCTTTTAAGTGTTATCTTTTACAATTTCAAATGCAAATTTGATTCTTAACTATTCTATTATAATTATAAAATATGATTATATATAGATGAGCTTCAATATTAAGTGATTAAAACTTAATTCGATTAACATATAATTTTAAGTACTTCAAGTGAAAGAATAGAATTTATAATTTTTTTTCTTTTTATAATTAAATGGAGCTACATGAAATTGAATTATATATATATATATATATATATATATAGTAAAATTGATTTTCAAAAGTTTCTCAATAATCCTTTCTTTTTAATTATTGTAGATAATGGTCTTAAATACGTTTATTACATAGTGAACATACTAACACAAATAGCCATGCATCTCGACTTAATTTTTGCAAGCAATAATAATTATTATGCAATATTATTTTTAATATGTAGCCCATGTTTGAGCCACATTCTAGAAAAAAATGCATTATTCATGTCAAATCAATAAGAAATGTGTGGTTAAAAAGTAAGGAAAAATTTTAGATTTGCGTGTAATATTATTTTATTGAAGAATGTGTGGTTAAAATGATATCAAATCACTGTTGAAAAATGTATTTTTTTGAAAACAATGTGGCTTAAACAAGCCCGTAATATTAGGTTTGAAAAAAAAAATTAACTATATAAGTAATATTTTTTAAATAAATTCTATAATATAATATTAATCAACTTATTAAAACATGCCATTTCACCTATGTTTGAGCCCCATTTTTTTGGAAAAATGCGTTTTTGAATAGTGTTTTGACCTTATTTCAAGCACACATTTTTCAATAAAACAATATTATACATAAATCCAAAACTTTTTCTTATTTTTTACCCCATCCGAAAACATCATTCATGAATGCATTATCTAAAAAAAAAAAAAAGAGGGGGTCTCAACCAAGGGCTTCAAGTTAATTATATATGTAGTACTATTACAATTTCTTTTAATTGTATGTAATAATGTTTTTATTAATTGTGTACTAATAATTAGTAACATTTGTGTTTAGTGAAAATTAATTGACTTAATTTTTTGAAGTAATAAAAATTATTAATTATCTTATTTAGAGGAAATAAATTAAATCATTTGGTATTCTGTAGTTAATTATATATGTAGCATTATTATAAGTATAATATATTAATGCAATCTTTCAATTTTTTATTTTTATTTTTGTAAACCAAATGAGGATATATTGGGCATTTAAGTAAATATATAAGGGTAAAATTTGTATTCAAAAGTTTCTCAACAATCCCTCTTTTAATATATTGTAGATAAGTAGCTTCTAAGGTATAATTTTTAGATCTAGTATTGGTTTCTTGCTGCCTAGTAAGACTGGTTAGGATTGTCTAGTATGGCTTCCATTACATCAAAAAGGTTACTCTTGATCAACCCCACCCGACAAAGACATGGAGAGACTTTCTTACCTATGACACTTAGTGCATGTTTGATATTGATTTTTCACCCAAAAAAATCAATTTTTTTACTATTATTTCACTATTCCAACAGTCATTTTTTACCTCTTCTCTCACAAGTGAGATTCATTTTTCTCTCTAACGGTCAAAAAATCAATTTTCATAATCACTACCGAATAAGTCTTTAACGAGCCTTACTGTTCAACCTAAGCACATAACAGTACTTCTCTGTGCACTTTTTGGTTACGAAATCGGTGGACCTTGTTCACATAGCTTTTAAAAAACATTCAGCAACTAAATGGATTAGATGGGTTGAATGAAAATAAGGCTATAGTTATTGGTATCTTAAAGCATGTGTAATTTTAGATTTTTATGCGAGCATATTTTGTCTTGCTTGTGTGAACACAAAGTACTCTTCTTAACCTATCCTTTCCTTCTTGCTGCATTACCTAACAAAGGAAGTGGGTTTTTCCTCTCAATCCTGTTAAAAGAAAATAAAAAGGAGATAAATTAACCTTTTCTTTATTTTCTCCCGCTTCTTTAATGGTAAAGAGTTGAATTGAGGGGAAATAGTGTAGATATATGGATCTAATACTCTACTCAAACTGACATTTGTTATCAATTGAAGAAAATAACTCCTTGATTTATTTTGGCAGGTTCCAAAGAACTGTTCATTTTGGTGCAAAATGAAGGGGAAAGCAATTTGAAAGTTAATGTCAATTTCCCCAATTCTAAGGAAAATGGATTATCAGCTTATGAAGTACCAAACAACCAAATTAAAAAGGTGTGAATAAATATATTTGCTGTTGAGCAATTTCTTTTTCGTATTATATATCTCTTTTGTCAGGTGGCATGGGGAAATCAAATTCGTAAAAGTGTTCATGGTGCCTTAACCGACTGCACCACTAATAATTGCTCCTTCAATGTGGAACTATAAACTGAAAATTGTTCCTTTAAGAAATGGATTAAGAATTCCATGTTTTGCCAGAAATATGCATTTGTAGACTTGCTGTACTACATATTATTCAATGTCTTGCCAGAAATTGTTCCTTTTAAGAAATGGATTAAGAATTCCATGTCTTGCCAGAAATATGCATTTGTAGACTTGCTATACTACATATTATTCAATGTCGGATCAATAAAACACGAGATGTCTTTACATTGAACATCGAAAGAAATGAGGATATACGCATAAGATAAGAAATGGGGATTTTTACATTAGTATTATTGCATGTTTTGCATCAACCTAAAGAAAATTCCGGTAACTCATTTAGCACTCATTGCAGTAAGAGTGAAGCCTTACCAAGCTCAAGACCTGGGTTTGAGCCTTCTTTTGGGAGGAGGTGAAATCCTTTGTTTCCCTTTAAAAAAAGAAGAAAATGGAATATTTTTGCAGTTAAATACGGATAACAGTTATGACTTTAAGGTTTGCACAGAAATTGGGGAAGAATTAGAACACAAAGAAATTTTGTGTAAATATGTGTAGTTTTTTTAATTAAAGATGCTACAGAAATAAAATAAGAATTCTTATCATTTAACCAAAGGCGAAGTATTGAAACTGATTGTGGTGCCTCAAGTTCCAATGTGGCTTATCCACACTTTATAATGAAGTGTCATCATATTGGTTTTGTGATAAGCCTCCAATTCAGTATACATATTCTAGAAGGAACAAGAGGAAAGACAGTAACTAATTCCGTTAGGTGGGGGTGTGAGGTGGCCAAAAATATGTTACAAGGGCCTATAAATAGAATAAGATGGATAGATGAAGATATCAAGAATTCAGTGAGTGGGTTAGTTAGGGAGAGTCTCAGTCCTTTCAATCGGTCACTTGTTCTTTTCCTTTACATTTCCTTGTAATTCCAGTTCCAGAAATCAATTTAGCATTTCCTGTGTTATTTTTCTCGTTTTCCCTGGCACTTGGTAATTTTTACAGGTTGGAATCTACCAAATTGGTATCAGAGCACCCTTAACCATAAGCATGACACTTGCAGAACGAGTGGGGGAACTAGAACAGAAAGTAGAAATCCATCATCAAGAGCTGCAGGCAGGTCTGGAGTCCATGAGATCTGAGTTCAAAGTAATGCATGCAGGGATGCTGGAGAAATTTGAATTATTAATGAAAACATGGGATAATCAGGAAAGGGGGCGGAAGGAGAAAGGGATGGCTTCTGAAAAATCCCCAACAGAAACTGCAGATTCGGGAATATCTCAACTCCGGCAAGACCTTAGTCAAGGTGCTGGCTGAGGAACAAGAGGTGACTGGAGGGGGGAACCGCGAGTGCGACGTTTGGAGATGCCCGTGTTTAACAGGGATGATCCGGATGGGTGGGGTGTTTCGGGTGGAAAGATACTTCACCCTCAACCGGTTGACTGAAGAAGAGAAAGTCGAGGCAGCTGTGGTATGCTTTGACGGCGAAGCCCTAGCCTGGTTCAAATGGGAGGAGAAGCGTCGAGCTATGAATAGCTGGGAGGAGGTGAAGATTCGGCTACTGCGTCGATTCCGACCTTCTCAAGAGGGGTCCCTGTGTGCTCAATTTTTATCCCTAAGGCAACGCTCCACCGTTCATGACTACCGCCGGCACTTTGAGACGTTAGCTTCCCCGTTAGTGGGAATATCAAAGGAAGTGTTGACATGCAGCTTCCTTAATGGGTTAAACCGAGATATCAGGGCTGAGGTTCTGTTGTTAAGACCATTGGGCCTGGAACAAATAATGGAAGTGGCCTAAATGGTGGAGGACTGAAACATGGTAACTAAACAAGCCCACTGGAATGCTGGACCTATTAAACCAAAGAGTATCCCCTTCCATAACCCAAATCCACCACAATCATCCTTCAAGAACCCGACCCACACCCATCACTCCCAAATACGCCCTACTGTTCCTCTGAACCTCCCCCCAAACCGCCCAAATTCTTTCCCCAAGTCATCCATTCCCTACAAACGGCTGACCGACGCTGAAATACAGGCCAAGAGGGAGAAAGGCCTCTGTTATCGTTGTGATGACAGATTTACCATTGGCCATAGGTGCAAGAATAAGGAGCTGTAGGTTTTGGTGATTTGGGAAATGGAAGTCAACAACGAGGAACTCGACACCGCCATGGCCAGCGAAGGTGAGCCCAACGCCGGCGAGTCGGTTTACGCTGAAGAAGTGACCCCCGGTCCGGGACAGCCTGTAGAGTTGTCGATCAACTCAGTCGTTGGGCTAACCACTCTAGGTACTATGAAGCTAAAAGGGATGCTCGGCCAAAAGGAAGTGATAGTTTTGGTTGACAGTGGTGCTTTCCACAATTTTATTTCAATGGACCTTGTCCAACGGATGGGATTTCCATTGACAGGCACCGCAAGCTATGGGGTAGCCATGGGGACGGGCTTAACAGTAAAAGGGGACGGTATATGCCGACAAGTACTTCTGAAATTGCCGGGGCTGTTGATAGAAGAGGACTTCTTACCTCTTGAGTTGGGCTGCTCGGATATCATTCTGGGAATGCAGTGGTTGAGGACACTAGGCAAAATGCAGGTGGACTGGGATACTCTAACTATGTCCTTTGACGTCGGGGGGATCAAAGTAACCCTGCAGGGGGATCCTAGCCTGAGTAAAATGCCCGTTTCATTGAAATCGATGTGGAAAGCTTTTAAGGAACAGGGGGAAGGGCTTCTACTGGAATTTGGAAGCATCATTGTCAGTCACCAGTCCGCCCCGCCCAGTCTGCCCCGCCCAGCCCCCTGAGGTTTTTTGCAGAGATTTTGGAGGAGTTCACAGCAGTATTCGAGGAATTCACTCAACTGCCGCCTAAGAGACTTCAGGATCATGCAATTAATTTGAAACCAGGGGCGGGACCAGTGAGTGTAAGACCGTATTGCTATCCACACTTCCAGAAAAACGAAATAGAGCAGCTAGTTAAGGAGATGTTAGCAGCTGGAATCATCCAACATAGCACTAGTCCTTTTTCAAGTCCTGTGCTGTTAGTACGGAAGAAAGATGGGAGTTGGAGATTTTGTGTGGATTATAGAGCATTGAACAAAGTCACCGTCCCAGACAAGTTCCCAATCCCAGTCATCGATGAATTGCCTGACGAATTGAATGGAGCTACGGTGTTCTCAAAAATCGATCTCAAATCTGGTTATCATCAGATACGGGTGAAGGCTGAGGATGTCCCAAAAACAGCCTTCCGAACTCATGAAGGCCATTATGAGTTTCTAGTCATGGCCTTCGGCTTGACTAACACACCAGCCACCTTTCAATCACTGATGAACTCAATTTTCAGAGAACAGCTCCGGAAGTATGTGCTAGTATTTTTTGACGACATTCTTGTTTACAGTCGTACAAAGGAGGAGCACCGAGATCATTTACGAAGGTCCTGCAGACTCTAGTAGAGCACCAGCTCTTTGCTAACAGAAAGAAATGCCTATTTGGGTAAAAGGAGATAGAGTATCTTGGCCACATTATATCAGCAAAGGGGGTGGCAGCAGATGAATCCAAGTTGTCAGCAATGAGGGATTGGCCACGTCCCCAGACACTTAAAGAACTGAGGGGATTCTTGGGGTTGACCGGATATTATCGACGGTTTGTGGAGTCCTATGGGAAGATAGCCTGGCCGCTAACTCAACTACTAAAGAAGGATTGTTTTAGGTGGAATGACGCTGCAGAATCGGCCTTCGCAAAATTGAAGGAGGCAATGATAACTGTACCAGTCTTGGCTCTTCCAGATTTCTCGCAGCCCTTTGTACTTGAGACTAATGCTTCTGGACATGGGATAGGGGCTGTCTTGATGCAAAATCAGAGACCAATTGCCTATTTCAGTCAGGTGCTACCCCAAAGGAGTCAAAATAAATCGATATATGAGAGGGAGCTCATGGCTATCGTACTGGTAGTGCAAAAGTGGAGGCATTATTTGCTGGGGAGGCATTTTGTGGTTAGAACAGACCAAAAAAGTCTTAAATTCCTACTCGAACAGCGCTTAGTAAATGTGGAATATCAGAAGTGGTTATCTAAATTGTTGGGTTTCGATTTAGATATTGAATACAAGCCAGGATTGGAAAACAAAGCCGCAGATGCCTTATCCAGAAGAGGAACAGCAGCCACACTGATGGCCCTTAGTATACCGAACACAGTACAGTTAGAGGAGGTGATAAAAGCAAAGGAAGAAGATCCTGAACTAAGCCGAATCATATCAGCCATAAGGGTGGACCCTTCGTCCTGTCCGGGATTTGCTATAGTAAGTGGGGCTTTATTGTATAAGGACAGGATCACCCTACCTAAAGGTTCTCCAATTATTTTGTTAGCATTACAAGAAGGCCATGATAGTAAAATGGGCGGCCATGGGGGATTCCTTAAGACTTACAAGAGGATAGTCGGGACTTTTTATTGGAATGGTATGAAGAAGGATATTAGAAACTATGTGGTTGCTTGCAAAGTTTGTCAACAGCACAAGTACTCCACATTAGCACCTGCAGGACTGCTACAACCTCTGCCTATACCAGAGAAGGTATGGGAGGACATCTCCATGGATTTCATAGAAGGGCTACCCAAGTCAGAGGGGATCGATTCAATACTGGTAGTGGTCGACCGCCTAAGCAAATACGGCCACTTCATTGGCTTAAAACATCCTTTCACAGCTCCGACCGTAGCTGCCATGTTCATCAAAGAGGTGGTTCGCTTGCATGGGACACCAAACTCAATCATAACTGACAGGGATAAGGTATTTATGAGCAAATTTTAGAGTGAGTTACTCCGTTTACATGGGACTAAATTGAAGTTTAGTTCAGCCTATCATCCCCAAACTGATGGCCAAACAGAGGTGGTGAATAGAGGGATAGAGACATACCTACGGTGTTTTACTTCAACTCGACCGAAAGAGTGGTTCCGTTTCCTTCCATGGGCTGAACTATCTTACAACACATCATTTCATGTGTCTGCACAACTCACCCCATTCCACAGTCTATGGACGAGAGCCTCCGCCTCTAATACGGTTTGAAAAGGGGTCGACACCTGTATCATCATTGGATCAGCAATTGGCCGAAAGGGATAAACTTTTGGATGAGCTAAAGCTGCATTTGAGCTAGGCACAGCAACGGATGAAAAGTTCAGCTGATAAACATAGGAGGGAGGTTGAATTCTCAGCTGGTGATAAGGTCTACTTGAAAATGCGACCCTATCGCCGCAAATCATTGGCACAACGCAGCAACGAGAAACTTGCACCACGGTACTATGGGACGTTTGAGATTTTAGCTAAGGTGGGGAAAGCTGCTTACAGGTTGGAGCTGCCACCTGGTACCCGTATTCATCCTGTATTTCATGTTTCGCAGTTGCGAAGGGTGGTAGGAGAACATCATCTACCTTCTATGTTGCCTAACAATTTGGGGGTGGACCGGGAGTTAATGGTTGAACCAGAAACTATGTTGGGAGTCAGGATTGCTTCGTTGACAACAGACTACTTGGAAGTGTTAATTTAGTGGAAGGGCCTATCTCCATTGGAAGCTACTTGGGAGCCATTCAACCTCATTACTCAACAATTTCCGGCCTTTCACCTTGAGGACAAGGTGACTGAATTGGGCGGGGTAATTGATAAGCCTCCAATTCAGTATACATGTTCTAGAAGGAACAAGAGGAACGGCAGCAACTAATTCCATTAGGTGGGGGTGTGAGGTGGCCAAAAATCTGTTACAAGGGCCTATAATAGAATAAGATGGATAGATGAAGATATCAAGAATTCAGTGAGTGGGTCAGTTAGGGAGAGTCTCAGTCCTTTCAATCGGTCACTTGTTCTTTTCCTTTACATTTCTTTGTAATTCCAGTTCCAGAAATCAATTCAGCATTTCCTTTCATTTCCTGTGTTATTTTTCTCGTTTTCCCTGGCACTTGGTAATTTTTACAGGTTGGAATCTACCAAAGGTTTCATCATTGATCTTTCTTGTTAGGTTTTCTGACACCTAGGTTTGAAATGTACTTCCCAAACATTATTGAGCAATTTCTTTACTTCATTTGGGGTGAGAAGAGTCCTAACTTTTTAATGAACACAGTCAACCGTTAGCATTTGGGATAACGTTCTTTTGCTATATTATGAACCAAAGCTGAAGTGGAAATGGCAATACTTTGGTAGATGTTCCACAGGATTGACCACAACTCTCTAGCTAATTCAGTTTATTGTTGATTGTGTTTTGTTCTCTTAACGTATTAGAGGCAATCTTATAGTCATATCTCTACGTTCTTTCCATCGTCAAATATATATATATATATATATAGAAGTGAGGAAAAAGAAATATCACCGATGTGAGTTCTCCATTTGATTCTATAAAAAAATTTCAATCTGTGAATCAGTTTCTTGAATTATTCATCTGAACTGTCATTTTAACAATCTTTCAACTCAAATGACTGTTATTTGAAGTTAGCGGAAGACATTGGATCAAATATGAGTTCTATGCTATGTTTTCTACTTTTAAATTTACCACTTCCTCTTTGCCTGTTTACTTGCAGATTCATATCCCTTCAAACCTGGGCAAAAGCAGCAAGATAATATTAAGTTCCGGAAATGGGAACTGTGTGTTTGTCTTGGATGGTTCTGTTTCTGTAGAGAACTTCCTCCGGCAGTTCTCTTCCTACTCTAGACAGGTGACCCCTATTTATGTTGCATACTTCTTCTTTCTATTCGCTTTGCTTTGTGGAGGGACATGGGCTTGCTGCAAGTTAAAGAAGAGGAGTGTGCACGATGGTATCCCATATCAGGAGCTTGAAATGGGCTTGCCAGAATCCACTTCAGCTGTCAATGTGGAGACAGCAGAAGGTTGGGATCAGGATTGGGATGATGATGATTGGGATGAGGAAACTGCAGTAAAATCACCTGGAGGGCACAATATCAGGAGTATCTCTGCAAATGGCCTTACTTCAAGGTCTTCTAAGAGAGAGGGATGGAATAATGACTGGGATGATTAGCAAAACATGTTTGAAAAAATGGGAATCAGGAGAAAATCTGCAAGAAGAAGACACATGACATACGGGTTAAAGAAATAGAAAATGAGAAGAATCCCTTTGTATTTAATATTTCTCATCTTTTTCTCCCACAGAATTTCTTGCATATAATTTTGCATGCATCATGTGTACTGAAAAAAATTTTGGAGTCCAGAAAGTTTTCATTTATAGAAAATTTGGCACTGTGATTATTGCGATAAATTATTTATAAGGATTGCAGTTGTAAAAATTTGCCATATGCTTATTGTCTATTTCACTTATGCTGATCGTGTTTTCTACTAAAGCCTCTTTTCTGTCATGTTTTCTTTACACTCTTCTGCTACTTTATATTTCTACTGGAAGGCTATCCTTTGAGTTAGGGAACTAGGGGTAGACATGCATGTAAGGTAGCTAACCTTCCAGCCATTGCATGGTTCGTGGTGAGCCCAACTCTAGAAGCCTTTGCGGCCAACATGGATGGTCCTGGCAGTCATCGTGTTTGTGTACTGTGTCAGGCCTTTCCGAAGCCGCCCAAGGCATTGCCCAGTTGACCTGTCTAGACAAAAAATGGATTGGCCTATTAATTTCATCCTAGTGATATTTGCTTTTACGTGTCATATGGACTTGGTCCAACATCAAATGGCTTTCCTTTTATCGACTCACTCCCTGTCACCATTCACGTGGTCCATTACTCTCCTCTCCTCATGCAAATACTCTACGAGTACATTTGGATTGGGGTAGGGCTGTAAAATGAGTTGGACCGTATTTTAGGTGGTCTAGTTTGGGCTGGTTGAGAGTGAGGCCTGAGTCGACCCGATTTGGGCCTTTGTTTCAGTTATTTTTATAAAAGATCAACATGACTCGATAACGGTAGTTGGTTGTAGCCATTCAACTCGTGAAGGTGACGCTTAAAAAAGTGCTGCTTTAACTTTGCATACTGTATCTCCTCTCTCTCTCTCTCTCTCCCTCTCCTTCTCTCTGTGGAGTAGGAATTAAGAAATGCATGCTTCACTTTAATCTTCATAATGATTAACCCAATTGAGCACTACTACTTTTTGTCCCCACACATTATACCTTTAGACAGATTAATGCTCCACCCAACTTACCTATTTAATTCAAAGTTGTTGCATGGCTATATCATTCTGTCCCAATAAAGTTAACCAATTAACACATAAATAAGTGATTTCTTCTTCCCTTTGCCCGCCAACAATTTAGCATTTCCCAAAATCCAACAATCCCTTTCCCCTTCTCAATTTACTACAGTTGTCTCAGGCCCTGTTTAATAAAAGATTAGAAATTTTCAGACGTGTCCCAGTCGAGAAACTAAATTTTATTCTCGATAAATTTGAAGTCTTTATAACAAAGAAAATCATGTTTAAGGGGACTATTGTGCAGTTTTAGAGGAACAAGTGCACTTGAGGCCCCCATGTGATGGCATTTAATTATGTCAATGCCCTTTGATTATTTCCTCTCGGGGGTCTCAAACCATTCGAGTAGGCCTTCAAATTTAAGCAATAATTATTAAACTAACCTGACCAAGGAATCATGGTGTTCCTCTATGTTTCCAAATTCAATACTCAACAGTAAACAATCCGACATACTCGTATTGATTGATAATGTCCTTTCGAGCACGTCTGCTCATTTCAAGTGTAACTCGAGCTGTGAGGTAGACGTAAGAGTGAGATCAGATGCATTTCCAAACCCCAGATTACCCTTATCACGATGAACTCGGGAACTTTGGCTACTCTATTCTAATAACAAGCAAGAAGCAGCAGATAAAATGGAGAAAATTCAAATCATAACTTAACTACTATATTCCTGCTGCATAAAACAAACAGAACGGCAAGATTAAAATCAAAATGCTCTGGTAAAGAGAAATCCAGTAATATAAACACAATAAATATATATAATGTGACAAAAATAAGAAGCTCAAAATGTTATTTCAAAAGATTATAGAAGAGAGACATAAAATAGCAAAAGATTTCCAAGCTGATGTATTTCTTCATGGATTCAGCGAACATGCTGGATTCCTCTTTCACCGGATAACCATATATTGTGACCTTTTTTAAGAGTAAAATCATTCCAAAACTTCTTGACTTTCTGAAGGACATTGGATTAATTCCAAAATTTTAATCACCTCATCCATGTCAGGACGGTTTGATGGCACTTGGGACGCGCATATCAAGCCAAGCTTTACCACCGGAATAGCTTCCTCCACTGGAAAATTACCATGAAGCTTCTTGTCGATGCATTCCTCTATCCTGCCTTCGTCCAAAGCTCCCCGCATCATGTCACAAAGTACAACCACATCGTCTTCCATGTATTCCACTGGTTTCTTCCCTGTCAACACCTCGAGAATCAGAATCCCAAATCCGTAGACATCACATTTTTCAGTAATCTTCACAGTCTGGCATGCGAATTCGGGAGCCATGTACCCGAGTGCACTCTGAATCTTGCTGCTTAGGATGTAACGGTCTAATGCAGGCAATAATTTAGCCAGGGCAAAGTCTCCAACCTTAGGATCACAACAAGTATTGATCAGTACATTGGTGGACTTCATGTTATAGTGTATAATATTCATCTGGTGCAGATGAGCCAGGCCTTTAGCTGTACCGAGAATTATTTTGAATCTTTGTTGCCATGTGAGACAGCCATTGCACTCTCCCTCGTGAAGATGTTTATACAAACTTCCTCCACCAATATATTCATTAATGAGGAGTTGTAAAGATGGAGTCCAATAATACCCTTCAAGTGCCACAAGGTTCTGGTGCCTTATCCTTCCGAGTTTCTTAACTTCCCTCTCAAAATCCTCTTGGGATTTAACCAAACTTGTTGTATTAAGCTTCTTGATTGCCACAGATCGTCCATCTCGAAGTTCTGTTTGATAAACAGCTCCAAATCCACCACGCCCAAGTTCACAATTTTTATTAAGCAGTGCTTGATCCCCTGCTATGAAATCAGCATCACCAGAAAACATGACGAGCTTTCCATAGTTAGCTTCAGTGCCATGGGAAGGGCTAAAATCGTCCCCTCCTGAAAATGTGAATGCTGCAGCAGAACGTGCCATAGAAGCACGAACGTGCATGTTGAGAATTGTGACAGTTACTACGCCAATGGCAATAAAAACAGCTGCACCAATGGCAATAAGGGAAGATATGCTAAGTATGATTCTCTTGTGACGGAGATTTGAAGAAAGAGAACCTCGATTGGAGTTGGACGAGTTGGGATTTAAGACCAGTGGCTTGGGGTGGACAGCAGGACAAGAGTGCTTCACGACAGAGCCACATAGGGATGGATTGCCAATGACAGATGATGGAGAAATGGTGTTGAAGAAGCCACCAACTGGAAGTTCTCCTTTCATATGATTGTAGGAGACATTAAATGTTACAAGGTTGGAGAGATTTGCCAGTTCTTTCGGTAAACTCTCGGAAAGTTGATTGAATGACAAGTCCACAACCTCAAGGTTGGATAGGCTTGCAATTGCCACAGGGACTGGACCAGTAAGTTTGTTGTGAGAGAGGATCCTACATGGGATAAAAATGTGAACCAAAAGAAAAGTTATAAGTAGATATATAGTCAAGATGGCAAAAAACATCGTTTCTGAAAACCTAAACATATTAGAGAAGCAGCATATAATATCAAAACCGTAAAAACTATATATGTACTATGAGGTACCAAATTTAATGTGATGCGTAACTTACAATGAGGTTAGAGACGAGCAGTTCCCAATATCAGCTGGAATTGCTCCAGTCAGAAAATTGCTGTCAAGTCTTAATTCTTGCAGCAAAACTGCTCTTCTAATTTCAGCGGGGATGCTCCCATTTAGCTGATTGTGACTAAGATCAAGAATAAGGGTGGTGTTTAGATCACCTACACTAGGTGGGATGAAACCACCTAATGAGTTCCTCGAAATATTTAAGATCCTTAATCTACTGAAATTCCCAATAGCAGATGGAATTCCACCAGATAACGCATTCGATGACAAATCCAAGACTTGAAGGTTTTGATAGGATACTGATGGCAATAACGGATTAGGATATTCTAGGTTTCCATAAAATCTGTTCTCAGAAGCAGAGACACTCTCCAAAGCCAACTTAAAAACCCACGAAGGAAGGTTACCTGTGAAAAAATTTTGCCCAACGTCAAGGACCTTAAGATTTATGCAATTCATGAAAGACTCCGGTAAGCTTCCCATAAACTGATTTTTTGATAGATTCAATTCCTTCAGGGATTGAAGACTGCCAATGGAATTAGGTATCTGACCAGAAAAATTATTGGCAGAAACATCCAAAAACTCGAGGCTTCTCATATCTCCAACCCAGTTGGGAAATTCTCCCCTCAATGAATTCCCACTTAGATCAAGATATCTGCAAAATACAAGTTTTCGCATTGACTCGGGAAGGCCCCCATTTAGATAATTCTCACCAAAATCTACAGACTTCAAATGCAAACAGTTTCCAATGTTCTCAGGCAGCCAGCCTATAAACCTGTTCCTGCGTAAATTAATTGATCTCAAATCATACAAACCCTCAATACCTCTAGGAATCTCACCCTCCAACAAATTATCCGATAAATCTAACCAACGGAGCAATCTCAATGACCATAATTCCGAAGGCACCTGACCTGAAAGCTGATTCGATGAAAAGTTAACCCTTTCCAGCATCGAACATGAGGTCAGGGACTGTGGGATTAAGCCAGTCAGGTTGTTCTTGGCTAGTGAAACTGCCTGTAGAGACCTACATTGTCGAAAAAGTTCATCGGGCAATGGTCCTGATAAATTATTTTCACTCAAGTCAAGAACTTCTAAGTTCTCAATTTGGGCAAGAATGGGATTTATTGGCCCTGTAAAATTGTTCTTCGATAACGAAAGCACTCTTAAGGACTGCAATCTTATTAGGCTTCGTCCGAGGTGCCCAGATAAAGAAAAGCCATTGAGGACTAGCTCAGTCACTCGATTGGAATTGGAATCACATTTCACTCCCACCCAATTGCAGGCAGTGTCAGCTTCTTCATTCCAAGAGATTAGCCTTGATTGTGGGTCAATCAGGCCAGCTTTGAAAACTATTAAACCCAATACATCATCATTCAAAGCAGAGTCTAACGATTTCACAAGAAATGGAGCTAGAAACAGAACAGACAATATTTTGAGTAGCATCTAGGTATACAGATAAACACAGCAACAAAATTTAATATGAATAAACAAGGATAAGAACAGAAATTAAAGGGTTCAAGAAGCTTCAAGTATCATCCCGGGTATGCAAGAAAGGCTTACTGGGAGTTG